CCTTTGGCCACCTGAAGTTTTTTTTAGATTTTAATAAAGCTTTCAATAAAGAAAAGAATGTCTTATACTAACAAGGTTTCATTATTTCAGATTTTGCCTGTGGCTCACACAAAAATACATCCTGATCAGGTATCGTATGTCTTTTGTTTCGTTGTGTCTTTGCCAGTACATGCAGCTTCCTAATTTAACACTGCCTCTTCATTTCAAGTTCCAGACTTTCAGAACACCCAAACCATTAAGTAACATTAAAGCCAACAGAAATTTACCCTAGGGAGAGGAGCTGCTGAACTTGAGTGAAAAACTTTAATACTGAAGATCTGTGGAATCTGCCAGAGTTGTGATAGAAAGCCTGAATGAGCAGTATATTGTAGGTCATAGATTTTATCCAGTTGCTTTTGTATGAAAAATTTATTACCCATCTGACCAAAACATCTTTGAAAAACCATCTGCTCTTTTTGGTAATACACCATCACTTAGAGGAGCCACTCTGCTGAATGCTGGTTTTAAAATCAGGTTAGTAATAATTACTAAGAATAAGGAAAGGTGGAAAAAGAAAACTACAGAAAATAATTCTAAAAGAAACAGGAATGTTAGGAAACAAATAATAGGAGAAACTTTACAGGGTGTTTTTAGTCATGATTCTTTTCCAAAGAAATAATTCTGTGATTCATTTTTCTCCTCTTAAAAACAGGCGTAGACTCAAATATTTTTCCTCATTTAGTTTAGGAAACTTAAGTATGATCCATAACATGGCAAATACACCGTGTGAGTCTATTTAAGCCATTGTGGTGGTACATGCAAAATTCGCTGTGGCTAAGCCCTTCCCTTCCTCACTAACAGTTAACAGTGATCAGATGAAAATCTGTGTGATGCCTCTAATGCCGAAGTCAGTGCTAAGAATATAAACCAATCATTTCGTGGCGGCCCTCCCCTGAGATGCATAATCACAGTAACAGTGGTGAGAGAGTGCATAAATTAATCACAAGCTGAACAGAGCATTGGGAAGCCCTCCTACAGGTGGATGAGATGTGTTGGTACATCATATGCCACTAGCTACATATTTCAGCGTACTTACAAGTGTCTTAAGAAACCAGTTCCTCTGCATGATAGTAAAAAGGTTGTTGGAAGAGAACTGCATCCTGGACAGGTATTTTCAAAATACCTATTGCATGACTGCCTGTCCTTCCTCATTTGATTTTACAATGTAGCATTTAGCTTTACGTCCTCTTGTCTCTGAGTGCCACTTTCTGTTTCAGAAACTAGGTGAAAGTATTCAGCAACTTCTTCTAGCAAAAATTGCAGTCTACTTGATGACCTTCTTAATAGTCACCGTGGCATGGGCAGCTCATGTAAGGTAGGAGCACAGTGTTTAACTCCAAAGTTAAACTGTTGTTTAAAGGGACAGGAACTAACCATGTCTGTGATACATTCCTGTCTTACTGATGTATTTCTGAATTGTCTTTTGTTGGATAATATAAAAAATTGATTGTAAAGAACCGCTACCCTAAGCAGTGAATAACTGTACTTTTACACCACAGTGATACAGAGAAAAACGAGCATTTTAAATCAGAGTTACTCTTCATTTTACTCCATATTCTAGATAGAATTAAACTTCTAATTATGCTAAAAAAGCATAAATTTGTAACTTGTATGCTACACAAATAGGGGAACAGACGTAGTACAACTGGCCTAAAACTTGTCTCTCCCAGTCCTCAGCAGTACTTCTCACAAAGTCAATTACAGTGTTGCAGATGCTGCATTTTATAGAGCTGTGGACACTGCCACCTGCTCATATCTTAGTAGTTGAAAAGAAGTTGACTTGCAGGCATCATAATGGAATGGGGAAAGTTTTTGTTTGAATTTTGAAATTTAGCAATGTTACTATATTCTTCCCTTAAGTGGTTTGACTGCATTCTGATAGAGCTGTGCAACCTGTAATTCAATACTTGAAGCCGATACTTCACATTAGTGCTTTTATCACATTACTTTTCTTTTCTTGCATAAGTAAATGGTGAGGCATAGTCTTTGAATGGTTTAGGGTTTTGTGGAGGGTGATTGGTTCTACTGATTATAAGTGACACTTCTGGGGATCAGGAATTTTATTACCAAAGTGTGGAGCAGTTTGGAAGAATATGAATTCTTTGCATAATGGTAACTATGTCGTGTCTTCAAGAGGAGTAATTTTAAGCCTTAAAATTCTGAAAATACTCTGGCCCTAACAGCACAAACTTGCCTCTGTTCTCTCAAGTAAAACTCAGAGAAAATCAGAATAGCTCTTCACAATGACATATGAGGCAAATAAAAGTCTGAGACTTTGGATGGACTCAGAACATCTGGATCTGCTCTGGAAGATCTGTGCCGTGTTACTGCGGGGCTCAGGTCCCTGCACAGCTTTGCTTCATCTGAAAAGCTAAAAGTCAGCATGGTGCCTATATATTTAATTTGGCATCAGATTATCAAATGGACTTGTTCATGTTCTGTGAACAGTGCCTGCTAGTGAAAGTCTAGTATGTGACTCAATGGATTAGAACTGACATCTGGATCACTTCTTCACAGAATAATTGGATCTTAACAATGGTGAAATTTACTTCAAAGTAAATATATTACTTGAAGTGTAGAGGAAGGATAGAGGGGGTAAAAAGCATTTTGCAGTATCATATGCCACTTATCCATCAAATAGAAATAAAACTCTTAATAACTGCTCCTTGGTTGCACTTGACTGTTAATATCTCGCTTTTCAAATTTTTCTAGCAAATTACTTCCATGTTTGAGCTAGTAAGTTTTGCTAGCACCTGGACTACTTGGATAAATTCTGGAGCAAAGGAAATCAGATTTCCCTGTAATATCATTAATATACAGTTTGTATGCAGTGTTGCAAAACATATTTTGGGAGCTAGCTTGTTAATGATATCTTGCCTTGCCTTTACAGGTTGTTTCAGGTTATAGTGCTTATAGATGATGTCCTTGCTCTTCTAAACCTGGTGAGTCTTGTCAGACATGCTGGATGTTTAACTAGCAAGTACAGGTCACTTTTTCTGAAGTCTGTATCTGCATATCTGGAAGTTTCTAATTTAAATAGTGCCACTCTGCCAGATTTCCAAGTCAGGAATCAGAGAGCTTGAATTCCTCCTTGCCAAAGTGGTTGATTAATAACTAACTTGCTTTTAACTTCCACATGTTTTACTATAAGCCAAAAGAACTTGTGCAGCAAGTTAGTCTGAAGTCCATCTGAGGGAACTGAAGAGGCACCTATGGCAAAAGCTTTTGACTCTGTTCATCTGTGTCCATTCTCTGTTCAAATTGCTCAGAAATTCATTCTGAAGCTTATTTGAAACAGTGGATTCTGTGAACCTTCAAAAACTGTCACTGAGAGACCGATCTCTGAATCAGTGTTTTGAGCTTTACACTTGCCTAAATCGTATATCTTAAAAATTCTTCATTTATTGGAGTATAATTTTTTAACGAGCCACCCTGTAATATCTTGGTTACTAATAGTTGCGATGGGATGCTGCACTGGTGAACATGTTTTTGCGTTCAGCTAGAGCTTTGTATTTTGGTATGTTATTTAAAATTCTTTTCTCTGACACTATGCAACCACACAGTTAATTTAATTTTGTTAATAAAAATACTGAGTTTAAACTCCATGAGATAACTCTACAGGAAATTACTTTTGAGGACTAGGTTAAGGCATGTAACGCTTACCTAATGTAGCTTTCAAAGCAATGCATTTCTTTGTGCTTGAGGTGGTTTTTGGGGTTTTCCTTGTTGTTGTTCTTTTTTTTTTAATTTGGCTTTTTAATGTATGAAATATTTGTGGTCAGAGATTAATGGTTTTGACAAATTGGAAGCAGATGTTTAGGAGATGTGGTACTTCTGGCATTGCTGCTTCAGAAAGAAGTCTTGTTAATAGTAAAACTTTTACCCGTGGTATTGGTAACAAAACTGAAGTGTTTTCTAAAATAAGCCTGTACAGTTTGGATAGCAAACATGAAAGATACGTATAGAACTATCCATTTGTTACAGTCAAAGCTCAGCAACTTCAGAAATGCGGGGTTTTTTTCATGATGCAGCATGATCATTTGATTTGTTTGTGTTGTACTCTCTAGTCACATTTTTAATGAGGGAATTGCTTGCTCTGTATTTTACCTAGAGTTTCAGCACACTCTTTTTCTTTTTTAGGCTTGTATGATGATCATAACTTTCTTGCCATATACAGTAAGTACTTTTCTAAAATTTGACACATGCTTAGATTACAGGAGTTATTTTTCTTTATGCATTTGGAAAGACTTTACTGAAGTATTCAGAAACCCAGGAGAATGTTATTATATAGAACCTGAATCCGTTGTAATAGTTAAGCCTTATTTTTTAAAAATACACAAGGACATGTTACAACCTTCAATTACTGCATATTATAGACCTGACAGAAAATGGCTATTCTAGAAGAAGTATAATTGTGGAAAGTCATCGTTTCCCATGGTTTCTTTTTAAAAAGCAGCTGTACTGAAAAATGTCAATGTTGCCTAATGACAACGCTGCATTTTATAGGGGAACTAAAACTGTGTTTTAAACTCCTCTTCAGATTACAGAACATTTTCCTTTTGTAATCACCTGACAGAGGTTTTGGTGTCACTTTTGACTTGTTCAGCAAGGTTGATTCTGGCAGCCAGTCATTCAGGCTCTTCTCAGTGACAGCCAATGACAGGACAAGGGACAGTGGGAGCAAGCTGGAGCATAGGAGGTTCAGCCTGAACATAAGGGAAAACTTTGTTACTGTGAGGGTGACAGAGCACTGGACCAGGCTGCCCAGAGAGGTTGTGGAGTCTCCTTCTCTGGACACATTCAAAACCCACCTGGACGTGTTCCTGTGTGACCCAGTCTAGGTGATCCTGCTCTGGCAGGGGGGTTGGACTGGATGAGCTTTCGAGGTCCCTTCCAACTCCTCATATTCTGTGATTCTGTGATTCATTTTTTAAATATGCAAATTTGATGTTCTGCACAATTCTGGTCAGATGACCTTTAGACCTAGCAAGAGTACTAGACATCATATTAGTAGTACAAAACAGTTACGTAAAGTGCAGCTTGACTTTTATTGTGTATGTAGAACAGATTTATATTACAGGTACCTGTTTCTCTGTGGATATATCTGTTGCATATTACTCTGCAAAGAATAAGGCTGTGATCAGTAAAACAATATCAGCAAGAGCACGTATTTTTACTTTGCCTTGAAGCTGAAATAATTTTTGGAAAGTTGTCAATGTTACCCTAATACTACTCCCTGCTTTCCCCACCCCCCCTCCATGAAGCTGCAGAAATTAACACAACAGAGAGCCATGGCGGTAGAGAAATTAAAAGATATCAAAAAGGTATCCTAATGTCAAGAATTTTCACAGCTATGACTACCTTGTCCACTGAAAACACTGATAAACTTTATGCTTAGCTACAAGCCATCTGTAGTTATTATGGAGACAAAGTGTCAGAGCAGTTAAGGTTTTGCAAGATGAACGTGAGAGCAAAGCCATCTCTCCAGATGCCTTTGGTTAGGATGTCTGCATGTATTTGTGGCTAGAAATTGCATTTAGTGGAACTATGTGGAAATGCAAAGTATTATTTTGTTTTCTGAGTTCCAGTATTGAATGAAGAGCGCTTCCATTTCTCTACTGTTATTCCTACATTGCTTCTTAATTAAATATTTGATCTAGTTGCATTTTTTTCTAGTTTTCCTTAATGGCCTCCTTTCCAGACGTACCTTTTGGCATTTTCCTGTTCAGTGTCTGTGCTGTTGTCATTGGACTTATACAGGTATTGGAGCTATCCATTTACATTTTCACTTTTAAATAGATTTTCTTGGTTAGAACTAAAATTGCATTTCTTACCTATGGGTATAAATTGCTAAAAGTCTTTTTTGTTTGTATAGCATTCTTTTTCAAAGTTGTGCCTGTTGTGAAAATATAGTATGTGTATATAAGGTGAAAGTTTGCATTGCCACTGTCCTGTGAAGCTGATTTATGCAACTAAATTGGCTGATCTCAAAGTCCAGAATAGTAATTCCTTTCTCACTTCTTAAAAATGCCTTGGGAAAATAGCAATTGACTTTCCCTGCTGACGTTCTTACTGAGCCACACAGCAATGGACGAGTGAAGAGAGGCTTTCAGCCTTGGTCCAGTGGCACTGTTTTTCTCCTGGTGCAGTGCCTTGTCGCTTTCTAGTCCTTATTGTGGAGGTCTTCATTCCTCTTCATATAAGATCCGTGGTCTTGAGAAGCTCTGCAGAGGAGACAAAAATCTTGACATGCAGTGTAATGTGAACTGTGTACAGCTTCTAACACCAGCCCTCTACGTGGGAGTGAAGAACAGGGTTGAAAGTGTTTTGGAATTTATTGAATTATAGTTTTACATTTTTATATTTGAAATGTTGCCTATACTTGTGTGTAGTAACTTCAGTAATGCTCTTCTTGCAGGCTGCAATAGTAGCATATGGGTTCTACCACCCACACTTACTGAATCGGGAAATACAGGAGTCTGAAAATCAGAATTTCTACAAACATCATATCTTAAAGATTATCCTAAGAGGACCACTTTTATGCTTTTTAGCAGCCATCTTTTCTTTTTTCTTTATTCCTTTGGTAAGTTCTCCCAGTTGACTGAAAATTTTGATGCCACAGTTTCTATTAGTTGTATTTAGGACTGTGTATTAAAAAAATAATATCCATGTTAAATATACAGGCTTCCTTAGTTGCCAGTTCTGTGGTGTTCAGGTAATGGTGGCTGCTATTTTGCGTTGAAGGTGCTCAGTTCACAGAAACCAGTCCGTAATTTGATCCATGAGTTTGGATAGTTTTGAAAGAATATTCTGCTACAATATTTGCTTTACTTGCTCTGTCTGATATTTTAAATGCTTCTCTTAATTAGAAGCATGTCTCCTAAACTGTAACTTAGCATCTTGCATATCGTAAGTAGGTCAGGTAATGTGGAAGGTCACATGAAATAAACATCGCATTGCACAGGCTGAAGACAAGTGAATATAATTGCTGCACTAACTCAGGGTGTAAGAGCAAATAGAAGAAGCAGAGCAGTTAGCCTGCATCTTAAAACGAATGTATTTGGCTAAGGCCTGCTCTTACGCAGCCTTTTTCTCTGCCCTCTTTATTAAATGGCAGTGAGTTGCTCCGACTTATTAATAGTTTTTATCTTTCTCAGAACGGCTGCTTGGAACTGAAATTTAGGTTTTGGATGTATCCTGAGCTTCCTTTTCTCTGTCCTTTTCTTTAGGAAAAGGTGGATTAAACTGAATTTCAAGAAAGATTCCTTGGGAATTAGCAATGTTTATATAATCCCTAAATTTGGAAGGAATCAGGTTGCTGTTGATAAAATGGACAACTATGAATCCAAACATGAAAAGGCCTAATTTTAATTTAAAATGTTTTCCTCTTATACCCTTAGTTCCCTCCTCTTCCTTGCCTTGTTCACTGGTGTATTTTATTTTAATATTAATAACAGTCAAATTAGTCTCCAAGGTGCTCTTGTGCTTAGACCTGTGCAAAGTTTGTGAACCACTTATAACCCACTGAGGTGTCTTTGGGATACAAGTAGTAGAATATCTCAAGTTGGAAGGGACCCATAAGGATCACTTGAGAGGGTTCTCTAACTTCCAAAGAAATCAGTGCTGCATTTTTGTTAGCAGAATTATTTCCCTTCTTGTTTTAGCTTGCTTCATTACTGGTACTAAATTAGCTACCAAAAAGCAGTATTAGGTTGCACATGTGTTATTCAGGAGGTGAATCTACTCTTCAGGTGAGCCATTAGCCATGAAGACAAGATTTGTTTCTCTCAATGTGATTATACCTAAAGATTGAAAGTAATAGTTTCATATTAAGATTGGAAGGTAATTTATATTTTGTTAACTACATTTAAACTGTGTTCATTTTTCCTTTCCATAGTCTTACGTATTTCTTGGGCTCGTAATTGTTTTTCCGCATCTCAGTCGATTCATTGCATGGTGTAAAACCAAGATTGTTGGTGAGTAACGATATTCATAGGATTACATCCAGGTATGTTAGGTTGTCAACATCCAAACAGGCTTGAATTAAGTAATTTTTACTTCCATTTTCAGTCTTGGAAAATAGTGATCTTATTGCCATGCTTCCAAATGATTTCTCCCTTGCTCCTTGGTTTCCCTGTGTTAGTGACTAGATTTGTGTAAGGCACAACACATTCAAAGATCATTTCTGATTTATCCAGAATATGCGTATGTGTGCACACACACACAGGTACATGAGTAATGGCTGCAGGCCATCTATCCCTTTTCCCTCCTGAAAAGGGAACGTGGGGATTGAAGAATATAGCAAGCAAGATCTATGCCTGTATCACTTTCTTCCCAGGAATACTGTATGGTCCCACATTTTTCAAACTGGCAAGCAGAGCACCTATAAATAAATTTTTTTCAGGCTAATTATCTGTTTAGGGTGTTACATCTCATTAATACAGCTGCTGTGGTCTGAAGGTATTTCTTCACACATGGCTTAGGTCAGCCTAAATCCATGCTTCCTCACGTTCCTTGGTTATGATCTTTCTGCCCACCTTGTGTCAGAACTAACAATAGCACAACTGCACCAACAGCCAGAGCTGCTCTTAAAATCTGCTGAGGAGGTTGCCAGTGCCAAAATAAATGAGAAGGTAGTATCTTGCAACCTACTCAGCCAAAAGGTAGAGTGTCCCTCTTTGAAAGCAATATAAACTGACCACAGAAACACTGAACAGATCATGTCTTTGGAATTGGCATTCCCAAGGTGATTCAGAAGAATAGCACCTTTGTGCTTCTGCTGTTTAGCCTAGTACAAGTCTGTCTGTGTACACTGCAAATGGGAACATACTTTTGACTCCCATATGCAGCAGCAATAATAGACGGGGAGGCAGAATTGCCCTAAGATGGCTAAAGCGAGACTCTCAGAGCCAGAGAATAAACACATGCAAATATTGCCTGTACCTACTGCAATGGGGGCACTTCAGTTTTCAGTCAGGTCATGTCTGTCCGTCTCACCCCATCAGATGGCTGACTTAAATTACTGCTCTATTGGCTGAGTTGTGATTACACTTGCTTTTCATTCTGTTCCTCTCCTTACTTCCTCTGTAAGCTGTAAGCTTTATCTTCCTCCAGGCTATACTCCTGAAGTGGTGCAGCTTGGCTGGCTGGGCAGTTCAGAGTCCAGTCTTTAGGGATGTGTTTGACATTTCCTGTAGAAGCTCCAGGACCCCACCTTTTGACCAAAGACTCTATTAATTTTAAAGGAGGCCATTTGATGTCCCACTGCAGCTCTTGTGCTCCAGTGAGGTTTTTCTCCCATGCAGTGTCAGTTCTCCACACTGTCTTAGAGGACTTACAGCTATTATGGCTTCCCAAGGCACAGCAGCTGATTTGTTTAGCTCAAATATTTTGTTCAGTTACAGCTTTGAGTCATTATTCACTTGGTGGAAATGACCTGCGATACATTTTAAAGTACAGGGCTTTTTTGTCCCTGAAGCACTTGTGCTTGTTGCACAAGTTCAGAGCACTTGTTGCTCTGAAAGCAACATGAACTTCAGGGAGAACACAGGGAGCACAGCTGCCAAAAAAAGTGCAGTGACTGACCTATGTGGATGAATGGCACCCTTCTTTTCCACAGAAAGATTTTGGCAGATGGGGAAAAAGAGAAAGGCAGGTCACAGTAGGTTTTTTAACTACCTTGTTTTATACTACCTGATTTTGTTGCTGATGTTTTGTACTACCTGATTAGTAAACATCTGGATTTGTTTCCAGGTCAGAGAGATGAAGAAGAGGCACACCATAGCTTAGAAACCTTCACTTTTTATCTCAGTGAGCCTCTGAGTAAGGAACGGGTAGAAGCATTCAGTGATGGAGTCTATGCTATTGTAGCAACCCTGCTCATTTTGGATATATGGTAAGGCTTTGTGTTGCCTCTTACACTGTGTTGTTAAGTACAGTATTAACTTTTGTCTGCATGTAATATTTGAGGAAATAAAATTAAAAAATACCGTCTTTGACTTACAAAACCTGCAGAGGTTACTTTAAGTATGATCTGGAGAGATACAGAACACAAACAAAGGATATTTCCTTCTCTGCAGACACACAAAAGCTGCCTGGATGTGTTCCTGGTGATCCTGCTCTAGCACCCAGACTAGGTGATCCTCAGAAGTCCCTTCCAACCCTTACCATGCTGTGATTCTGTGATACTTCTAGCACCCACATTTCAGCAGTAGTGATCATCAGTCTGTTTAATGCATCTTGGGGGCCAGGGGAGTGGTCTTGAAGAGCCAACCTTCCTTTAAGCTTAGTCATCTTTTCAGATAAAAGGCTTCTATCAACAAAATCTGTTTAGTCACTGTGGCAACTTCATTATATTAACCTAAAGGAATCCCAGCATACTTTCAGACATCCTTTCAAATTAATTTATCTGCAGGGCTGTTATTTTAAATGCTGTTTCTAAGTTACAAAGGAGTGGATACCTGTTGTTCCCTGCTTGCTCAGAGTAAAGCAAAATAGTTCAGGAATGCTCCAAGTGTGTTTTGTAATTATCATGCAAAATAAAGTAAGTTTTCTCTCCACAGTGAAGACAATGTTCCTGATCCAGGAGAAGTTGAGGAGAAGTTCCATGGCAGCCTTCTTGAAGCTTTAAGTGAATATGGGCCAAACTACCTGGCCTACTTTGGCTCATTTGTAACAATTGGTCTTCTGTGGTTTGTCCATCACTCACTTTTCCTTTATGTAACAAAAGCTACACGATTAATGGGACTGCTTAACATACTTTCATTGGCTTTCATTGGTGGGCTTCCACTAGCTTACCAGCTGACCAGTGAATTTGCAGAGAAGTCTCACAATGAAATAGAGGCCATTCAGGTCAGCTGTGTTATCACATTCTTTGCCAGCATATTTCAGTTTGCAATATGGACTACAGCCCTTCTCCATGAAGGGGAAACTTTGCATCCTTTTGCAAGATACGGTGGCAAGGAGCATGCCTTCATGTTTGCCAAGCTGGCTCTTTACCCCTGTGTAAGCCTCGGGGCCTTCTTTCTAACATGCTTGTTAAGTGAATTTAGCACAGCCATTTTCCATCTCATGCAGATTGTAATCCCATTTGCTTTTCTTGCCTTGCGCATTTTTGTTAGAATTTCTTTAACAGTCATAAAGTCTGTGATGTCTCTGTCCAGACGGAAGGTTGTGTTGTTAGAAGAAGAGGAGGCATGTTTGTCTCCTACTGAAACACTGTCCTAAATTTCTGCGCAGTGCATGTGAAGTTGTTAACTTCAGTTCTTCTAACTAACGTTATCTTCGTGTGTGGATTATATTGATCTAAACCATGGCCTACATTGGCCATAACTGGGGGATATTTAAGCTTTAGCTGATCATGCTTGAGACCCTTTGTCCAAAACCTGCTATTGAAACAAATGGGTAAATAGGGGAGACAAAGAAAAGCATGTTCCCCTGCCTTTTGAATTACCCTTTTGGAAAAAATACTGCTTGACATGTAACTGCAATGATATCAGTTAAGAAGTGTCCAGATGCCCAGCAAAATGCCCTTTTTACTTTCATATGGTAGTTGTTGGGGCAGCCAAACGCAGGTACAGAAACTGGTTGTGGTGCTGTAAGCTAGGGAGTGAGGCTTGGAAGGCATGTAGACCTCTGGATTTCTGGATGGTGGATCATGGTAGGACATTTGTGCATACAGGCTACACAGATTTTAAATTTAAGGTTTAAGGTTTAAAATTAAGGTTTTTTTTCAATGGTTACAGAGTCTTTTCTGCATAGTCACAAACCTGTGATAGCATTTCAAAAGCTACTTGTGTTTGAGTGGCTCTGAGCATGAGTTTAGATGGGAGTTGCAATTGTGACTGATAAGGAGTCGTCCAGGCTACCTGAACACAAGTTCTTCAGGCATGTCTGTTCTTTTTTAAAAAAGGTGTATTTAATAAATGAGGATTCATGTGGCTGTGTATCCAATATTTGAACCAGGGAAGATATTTAAAGAGCTGAAAGACTAGAGGTAAATTTATTTTCAGTTCTGAAGCAGCTGCTCATCTAAAATGAAAGGTTTAGATTTCTTAGGCCATTTGTGTCTGTTTTCATGCCTACTGAAAGGAACGTCCTGTTATTCTGAAGGCATAATGTCATCTTCAGAGAGAGTATAAGACATTCCTGCCACGTGTTGAGTTCTGCATCAGGTAAGGAGTTTTTTTCCTAAGTAGAGGCTAACTAAGTGATCCCACAGATTCTAAGTCTCAGCAAGACAATAAAAGAAATTAACCCTGTAGAAAGCTTTATGCTTATCAAACATTACCTTGCAGGGAGCTGTACAGGAGTGGGCAAAATCATCTACCCTCTGGCTGCTCTGGAAGCCTTTACATTTCTTTTTTGGTGGAACTATTAGTTTGTATCTTGAACTGTCTTAGTGCCTGATAACTTTAACGTCATGTTTAAGGACATTTGAGGGATTTTGTTGTTCCTCTTAAAAAATTTAAAATACTGTGGCAAAGAATGCCTTGAGTAATTGTTAGTGAAAGCAAATTCAGATCTCTCATCTCAGCTGAAAAAGCACTTCTGCTTTTTGATTGAAGCACCTTGGTAATGTGTAATTGTTGTATTATGTACTTCTTGTGAGAGAGTATGTTCAGATATTCAAGGGGTTTTATACCTGATTGAGGTTAAATGACGTGCAGTAGGTTCTGCATTTTGTTGTGTGTCGCTGGGTTTTTCTGATACTTAATAAAAGCACTTTTGGTTCTATATGGTTTTGTTTCTAATGTGCAGCGGGCACATAATAAATGGTGAATATGTGTATTTGTAATAAATTTCAATTAGTGAACAAACTAAGCTTCTAGCTCTTTATTTCTGCTCTGCAGATGCAACTTAAATCTGATGTCTACAATGAAAATTATGTAGGACATCTTTTAATTTTTTTTCTTTAAAATCATCAAGGTCCCTTCCAACCTCAACCATTATGTGATTTTGTATGAAACACCCAAAAGCTTTTAATGTGAAGTAAAGAATTGTTGATTCTACTTCTGTTAGTACTTGAAAAAAATGAGACCTGAAACTGAATCTGACTGAGGAGCCGAAAATTTTTTTAGTATAAAACAAAGAAGCTTGTATATGAGAATAATTGGGTCTTCAAAGCTGGAACCTGGTGTTGAGACACAGAAAGCAAAGTCATAAAGATGAGGAGAACATAAATTTTGTCCAGCAGGACACATGGTCCTGCAACTCATCAGTGATTGGAGGACTCGTAAATCAATTTCTTTGCATTCCCTAATGATCATATCCCTCAGAAGAAGTTACAAGACTGAAGAGAGGCCAATCCAGCCCAAAGAGGTGCCAAATGTTGGACTGTTGCCTAATGAAGATGAAGTCAGCAAAAACTGTGAAAACTGCTGCAAATGCAGCAGGGGAAGATCGTGACCACCAACTCGCAGACCATTGACTCAAGAAACACCCCTGACCCAAAAGAAAGTGGGCACTGCACGTGCGGGCTCAGTAGCATGAAAAGCATGAAAATAACAGACCAAATAGAAAGTAGACGAAGTAATTTTGTTCCAATTAATGTAGTTTTAGGTGTTTTGCTAATCATGTACTAGGGTAAATATGGTGTGTTTTTTACAGGTGGTGTGCTTGATTTGTGGAAATCCACTCAGTACCCAGCCTTGTGCAACTCCGAAATAAACAATGTCTCCTCTCTAAACATACTGTGTGTGTTTTGGGAGTTCTTTCAATTTCAGGTAACAGTTTTGGCACCCCAGATGGGACTTTAACTTTGAAACCGGACTTTGATCGACACCTGCTACCACCGGAGGAATTGCGAGCCAGACTGCAGCGTGCACTGGAGGATTTTTCCAGGGACTCCTCTTTGCAATTCCCTGGTGGGTGGTAAGTGACACATTGATACTGGGATAGAGACATTGTTAATCCTGTTTATTTAAGATAACTGGTTCTGGTCTGGTAACTGGTATCTCTCCTGCACTACTACGGTGATAACCGGAGCAGGCAGAGTCTGGTTCTGGTTTGGGACATTTGCATTTGTTGTATTATGGGTTATAAGAATATTATTGTGCTGTGATATATTGAAAATTATTTACAGATGGGAAGTGCAACTTCTTGCATGTAAGAAGGAATACCTCAGGCTTCCCCACTGAGTTGTATTTTGAAACATTGGAAAAAGTTTGGAGGTGACCCTCTAACATGGAAATAGTCAATTGATTATTGTAACCAATGGTGGCCAGTATATGTATTAGATGATAAAGAAAAATGGCCAAAGAATGGAACCTTGAATTATAATACTATGTTGCAATTAATGCTGTTCTGTAGAAGAGAAAGAAAATGGGATGAAGTACCATATGTGGATTTGTTTTTCACATTGCAAAATTATTATAAAAGCAGAAAAGAATGGGGTCTCATAGCCAAAGATGCAAATATTTAAGCTTTGGAACAAAACACCTAAATGCTGTTGTTCTGCATGTAGCATTGGTGAAAGGTGTAAGAAATACTAGGAGCCGACCTGAGGGGGAAGAGAATGTAGATGTAGATTTACTGGTGGCACCGAGACATAGAGGTGGTCAGAGAGAGGATTTTCATGGTGAAAATAGGGAAGTTGACAGAGGTGTTTGTGAAGCTGATGAAGAGGAGGACAAGGAACCTGAAAGAAATTATTTTAGCCCTGTAGCAAGAAGAACTCGGAATGGGGGGGCAGTACTGGAAGCACCTTTGAGACAGGCTGTGGGACCGATGGGAGAACCGGTGTGGGTTGAAGTTCCTTTCTCAGTGACAGATTTTAAAGCTTGAAAATAGAAGCCTGGGATGTACAGGGAGGATCCAAAAAGAGTGGCAAAAGTATTGGAAACTTAAAGAGAATCATGATCCAGACTGGAAAGATGTACAGGTGGTCCTGAGTTTGTTGTTAACATATGAGGAACAGAGAGCTGTTACAGCTGAAGCTAAGGAAGCAGAGAGAGTGCACGCTCAGGATGCACAGGCAGGAAAGACTGAGGATCATTTTCCCACCAACAACGCGAATTGGGACCCTAACAATTGGCCACACAGAAACTTGTTAACTGAGTATCAAAGATTAATACTGTTTGGGGTGAGGAATGTGATCCCCAAACCAAAAAAATCTGTCAAAACTATATCAGGTGGTGCAAGGGAAAGATGAGACTTCTTCAGCTTTTTTGAACAGATATGCGAAGTACCTAGAAAATGGACAAATTTAGACCTGGAAAATAAGGATGATACATTAACATTTGTGAATTTGTTTGTGGGACAGGCAAACCCTCCTATTAGGAGGAAACTGCAAAAACTTCAGGGTGCAAAAGCTAGATCCCTTGAAAAGTTGATGGAAGTAGCATGAAAAGTGTATATCAACAGAGAAGAAGAAGAGAAGAAGAGACAAGAGAGAGGACAGGTTAAGGCTCAATTGTTAGCAGCAGCAATTATGGAAGGGAATCAGAGAACTGGTAAGATGAACAGAGACGAGACTACAGGCAAAATTGCCTTCCTGTGAGAGGAAATAGTGGAGCTTCACACGGACCTGGGGCAGGCAGGGTTTTAGATAAAGATCAGTGTGCTTTGTGTAAATAAAAAGGACATTGGAAAAAGGAATGCCTTCAGAAACAATTACAGAAAAAATTCACCAGAAATCAGGAAAATCCTGAGGTGGCAAAATTTCTTACCTTGGATCACGATTCAGATTGACAGGGACCAGGGGGTGACTTGAAAGTTTCCCCAACAGAACCCCTGGTTACCCTAAAGTTGGGGGATGATAAAATTGATTTTTTAATAGACACAGGTGCAGCTTTTTCAGTATGAAATACCTGCAGAGGTAAATTAAGTGAACAAAACATGTCTGTTATTGGGGCCACAGGGAAAACGGTGGTGAAGCCTTTCTTCCAACCGATCAAATGTGGAACTGGGAATTGAGTATTTACTCACCAATTTCTAGATGCTCCTGATTGTCCAGTACCTTTGTTGGGAAGGGATATGCTCAGCAGACTAAATGCTCAAATTGTCTTTGAAAAAGGAAAAATACAGGTGCAGATACCAGGAGAAAAGGCCTTGGAAGTGCAAATGTTTATATTCTAGGAAGGAGTGTAAGAGACATCAGAGCCTGAAACTGATCCAGAAGAGGTGTTGAATGAAGGAACCTCCTTGGTGTGGGCCTCCGGGATCCCAGGTCGCTCCCACGCAGCAGAAGCAGTAAACATCTCATTGAAACGTGGAGCTCGACCTCTAAGATGAAAGCAGTATTCTATTAAGCTAGAGGAAGGAAAGGTTTAGAGACTTTAATAGAGAATTTTATGGTCCATGGGTTGTTACAGGTTTTTTATAACATTCCAATCTTGCCTGTAAAGAAACCTTACTCAAATGAATATAGCCTGGTTCAGGATTAAAAAGCAATAAACCAAATTGTAGAAGATTTTCACCCAGTGGTACCAAATCATATGCCTTGCTAACCACAACTAAAAAGACAGATTAATGGTTTACAGTATTGAACTTAAAGGATGCCTTCTTTTGCATCTCTGGAATCTGAGAGTTAAAAGATACTTGCCTTCTAGTGGGAAATTCCAAAAACTGGCCGGAAAACCCAGCTGTGTTGGACTGTTCTTCCACAGGGATTTAAAAACAGCCCTTCAATTTTTGGGACCAACTAGCCAAAGAATTGGAGAAATGGCAAAAGGAGAATGCAGAAATAACGTTGTTGCAGTATGTGCATGATATCCTTCTAGGAACAAAACCATTAGAAGACTCTATACAGTATACCATTGACCTTCTGAATTTCCTAGGAGCAGCAGGATACAAGGTTTCAAAGAAAAAGGCACAGATCACACAACAAACGGTGACTTATTTGGGTTCGCCATCACCCAAGGTCAGCGAAGCCTCGGTCCTGAGAGGAAGGAAGCAATTTGCCAGATACCAGAACCTGAATCTAAAAGGGAGCTGAGAGCATTCCTGGGAATGGCCAGATGGTGTCGTCTCTGGATTATTAACTTTGGACTGACAGCAAAACCCCTTTACGAGGCTGTAAAGGGCACAGGAGAATTCCTTGAATGGATGCCAGAATGCCAAGCAGCTTTTCATCAGTTAAAACAAGCTCTAATGTCAGCTCCAGCCCTGGGACTCCCTAACTTAGAAAAACTGTTTGAACTTTTTGCAAGTTCAAAAAAAAAAACCAAAACATGCATGTTGCATTGGGAGTCCTAGTCCAAAGGACTGGGACATGGAGAAGACCAGTATGTTACTTTTCTGAACAGCTGGATGAAGTGAACAAGGGCTGGCCCTCTTGTCTGAGAGCTGTGGCTGCGACTGTATCACTCATTCAGGAAGCCAGAAAATGGACTTTGGGGCAGAAAATAACAGTACAAGTGCCTCATGCTATAACAACAGTTTTGGAACAAAAATGGGGGACATTGGTTATCCCCCAGCTGGGTGATGAAATACCAAGCTGTGCTATTGGAACAAGGTGATGTGGACTTAAAGAGTAACAACTACTCCGAATCCAGCAACTCTGTTGTCTCTATCCAAAGAAACTGAATTGGAACACGATTGTTTAAAAACAATTGAGCAGGTATTAAAGTAGAACTGATCTGAGGGATAGATCTTTAGACTCAGCTAATTTAAACCTGTTCATAGATGGAAGCAGCCAAGTCATTGATGGAATTCGAGAGGCAGGATATGCAGTTGTTTTGGAAGAAAACGAATTGGAAGCAAAAGCCCTTCCAGCTAACACTTCTGCTCAAAAGGCAGAGCTGACTGCCTTAATCAGAGCCTTGGAGCTAACAGAAGGAAAGACTATAAATATATGGACAGACTCTAAATATTTTTTTGGAGTAGTTCATGTACATGGAGAAATTTGGAAAGAAAGGGGTGTCCTTTCATCACAAGGAACACCAGTTAAATATGGAGAGCTAATAAATTATTACAGGCCATAAATTTACCGAAACAAGTAGCAATCATGCATTGCAAAGCTCGTCAGTTTGGAAGTGCTCCTGAAACTGTAGGGAATTGGTGGGCAGACCTGGCAGCCAAAAGAGCAGCAACAGAACAAATATTGGGAATATGGCCTGAGAAGTATGAAAAATTAGGGACTACCAGCATATAACAAAGATTATCAATTGGCTAATTTGGTAAATGCAAGAAAGAATGGAGAAGGATGGTGGATCACAGAAGATGATCGAGTGATAATACCTTCAAACCTCATGAGAGAGATTATGGAAAAGGAACACAGAGAAACATGTTGGGGAAGAGAAGTGCTTATGGACAGTGTTAAACTCCACATCTTAAGTGCTGGAATGGGAGGTATAGCCAAAAGCATTGTCAAGAAATGTGAGACCTGTCAAAGAAACGATCCCCAAATCCTACCTAGACCTCCACCTGGCAAAAACAGAAAGGGAAACACACCTGGTGACTACTGGCAAATAGACTTCTCAGAACTTCCCAGACAAATTTAGTATTGGTATTTATTGGTACTGGTGGACACTTTTTATGGATGGCCAGAAGCCTTTCCCTGTCACACCAATCAAGGAGGTAGTTAAGGTATTACTAAAAGAAATAATTCCTCGGTTTGAAATACCAATTGGAATGTCTTCAGATAGGGGGCTTCATTTTGTAGCAAGGGTGATTGATTCATTAGCAAAAATAAGAAATAGAAATAAGGTGGGATTTACATACACCATGGAGGCTACACTCTAGTGGGAAAGTAGAAAGGATGAATCAAACTATTAAAAGACAGCTAAACCAAATTTGTCAGGAAACTCAGCTAAAATGGCCAGATGCTCTCCCATTGGCACAATTGAGAGCGAGAATTACACTGAGGTCTAAGGAAAAGGTTAGCCCTTTTGAAATATTATACAGGAGACCTCATCAAAGTAAAAATCATGAGCCAGGAACAACAGAATTAATTGGAAAACAGTATCTAAAGCAATATGTGATGTCTCTAGGGAAGCTTCTGTCTTCTCTTAACAGAGAACAACTACAGAATCTACAACTGAAGACACCTTTGGGCCTGGATACCACAGTCCATGAATTTCAGCCAGGAATCTGGGTCTACCAAAAAGATGAGGTTTGGCCAAGTTGACATATCAGGAAAACCCATGGGTGCAGAATATGCACTTCCAAATGATCCAGAAGAAGATGAAAATTGTGCAACTGTGACTTATTTGGGGTTCACCATCACCGAAGGTCAGCAAAGCCTCGGTCCTGAGAGGAAAGAAAACAAGAGTGGTTTAGGATAATTCTGACAGCTTTGTTAAGTTCTGCATTTCAGAACAAGGCATTAATTTGAATTGTGTGATTCTCCGGTAGAAAGAACATTCCAAACCCCCCCCTGTAACGAGCTGCCCTTTAACAGACCAAACAACGACCACAAGCTTCCCGCTTTAGGACAATTAAAGTGGAACGCAATGACTTTTATAGCGACCGAAGAATCACGTGGTCCTGCCGGCAGCCCCGCCCCC